AGCAATTAATTAAAACCACCCCCTGGTTTGGGTGATGACCAGGGTTGGGGTCTCCATCTGGACAAGCAACCCAGTCAGATCCCAAAAGCAGCTGGTGCTGCTCCAAGGGTTTTGGGTTGGGAAAGAAAAGGGGATGATCCCAAGGGATGGTTTCTGAACATAAAAGTTGTCCCAGGAGCCAAAAAGGTGGTTGTGAAGGAAGAGAGACCTGAGAGCCTGCATCAAACCCAGTGGAAAGTGGTGATTCCTGGTTGAAGGAGGCTGATCCCTGGTTAAGGAGACCAATTCCAGGTTAAAGAAGATTAATTCCAGGTTAAAGGAGGCCTATTCCTGGTTAAGGAGACCAATTCCAGGTGAAAAAAGACTGATTTCAGGTTAAAAAAGACTGATTCCAGGTTAAAGGAGGGTGATTCCAGGTTAAAGGAGGGAGATTCCTCCTTAAGGAGACCAATTCCAGGTTAAAAAAGACTGATTCCAGGTTAAAGGAGGCCTATTCCTGGTTAAGGAGACCAATTCCAGGTGAAAAAAGACTGATTTCAGGTTAAAAAAGACTGATTCCAGGTTAAAGGAGGGTGATTCCAGGTTAAAGGAGGGAGATTCCTCCTTAAGGAGACCAATTCCAGGTTAAAAAAGACTGATTCCAGGTTAAAGGAGGCTGATTCCAGATTAAAGGAGACCAATTCCAGGTTAAAGAAGACCAACTCCAGGTGAAAGGAGGCATAATCCAGGTTAAAGGAGATTGATTCCTGGTTAAAGGAGGCTGATTCCTAGTTAAAGGAGGCTGACTCCTGGTTAAAGGAGCCCAATTCCAGGTTAAAGGAAGCTGATCCCACATTAAAGGAAGCCAGCTCTTGGTTAAAGGAGGCCTATTCCTGATTAAAGGAAGCTGATTCCTGGTTAAAGGAGACTGATTCCAAGTCAAAGGAGGCCACTCCTGATGAAAGGAGGCCGATTCCAGGTGAGAGGAAGCCGGGAGGGAAGGTGAGGAGGAGCTTGGGAAGAGCTGAACAAAGCCCAGGGGGTGCCAGGCACAAAGGCTTTTCCTCAGCTCTCCCTGGGGGGTTTGCAGGAAGGGGAAAGTCCCCAAACCACCCAAACCCAACCCGGTTTTCCCTCCTGGAGCTGCAGGAGCCGGGCTGGGAGGCAGGGAGCCCAGCCCAGCCCTCCCCCCAAACCCTGCTGCTCAAAACCAAACATCACCACCTGGTCCTGCTGCCTCGACCCTTTTCCTACGAGCAGGACTTCCAGGAGGAGCTTAGGGGGGATTTGCTCCACCTTGTCTCTGCCCCTGTGGATTATTTGGGTCAGCTCCTGCTCCCATCCTGCTCCCACCCCCCCAACACCCCTCCAGGATGGAGCCCTGGG